CTGGAAGCGATATAAGACTATTGCGTCACTTCCGCTCTCTCTTCCACAGGAGGCCTGCACGTTGGCCTTGTTTTTGCAGCAATGGTAAGACTGGAGCCCGTGCCGGTATCCGGCGACATCGGAACCGGGGCTGGGAAGATCGGCTGTCAAGGTGCCGAGAGCGCCCCATCCTGGGGGCCTGCAACTTTCTGCATGGAGACTTGGATCCCGCCTCTGGGAAGGGATAACCAAAGACTTCCAGTTCCGAGGAAGGGTCACTCTCCGGGCGTCCGAAAGCTGCCGAAGGCTTGGGCGTTTGTGGAGACCTCAGGCCTCCGCCACGCAGAGTGTACCTTTGGGAACGGGGAGAAAGACCTGCCTCCTCTTTCCAGTGGTTGCATTTTCCCGAGCTTGAACGTTACATGTTCCTTCTCTCTGCAGTACTGAGGAGTTTGAGTTTGTCGTTATGGGAAAATCTAAGGGGTGGGATGGGCGGTCGTTGCTCTCTCTGTGACAAGCTTAACGTTCCTGTTTGAGGTTGTTTGTTCACCTTAGCGACCTTACGGTTTGATGATAGTTCATGGTGTCTTATTTTTTCTCCATACTCTTTCAATCAGTCTCTAGTGATCCCTGAGAAGTTCCAGCACATTTTGCGAGTACTCAACACCAACATCGATGGGCGGCGGAAAATAGCATTTGCCATCACTGCTATTAAGGTAATGTAGGGTAAGGAAAATGCAAATGAAACTTGGGTGGTTAAAACCTATGATTTAAAATAGACAAGGTTGGGGCAACAAGTTGCATCCAGATCACCTCTGCTGCTGAGCTAAGAAAAGTCAAAGGGTTAAGGGGATTAGTTATTCCCTTAACCCTTACCATGTTTACCACAAGAAGTAAGTAGTAAAAACCAGAAACTGTCCTAAGGTCAAGCCAAAACATCTCACTTGGGGAGGTGGGGAGTGGGTATGGTTGCCTACCTGAATTCACTAAAATTCTCCTGGATCATCAGCTTGTGAGATCCCTTCTAGATGGGGTTTCTTCCAACTCCACCCCCTTCCTCTCTCAGTGCATCATAACGGTAACCATTCCTGTGAAATTTATATACCCTGAAAATTGTATAACTATTGTACATCTTGAGGGATGAGTAAAAAATGCCAACAGATTCTGAGTGAAGAAACCTATAGTTGGGGGTTGGAGGGGTGTGAGCAGGACATTGACTTAGATGCCAAAGGTGAAATTCAGTGCTTCCTTTCAGTTGAAGTGGGAACCAGTACATGTCTGGCTTGTTGCAAGAATTGGTGAATGCATTCTCTTTATGAAGCTAATGAACTGGCATTAACAGATAGGGGCATAATTGTTTTCTTTTAATCAAAACAATTAGTTGTGGAAATAGCTAATGTCCTTCTTGCCTACCAGTATATACATTATATAGGGGCAGGGCTAGGCCTGTCTTGCTCACAATCTCCAGCTTCTGGTACATGGTAGGCAGTCATACTAGGGATACTGTTGCTGGTTTTGAGGGATTTAAAGAAAACTGATAAAATTTCATACCGGGATAAAATTAAGGGAGTCTGCTTAGCTGGAGGGATGCTCAAATAGACTTAAAGATGGGTCTGTATTTATCAAAAGATAAGTTATATTAAACAGTTATTCCTAGCTTTGATTAATGAGGTTTATCATGTTCCCTTGATTTTTCATTCTGTACTGCAGGGAGCACAGCTCTCATTTGTTCTTAAATGGTATAGAAGAAGATTGCTTTCTTCTGTTAGACAGTCTTTCTGTGAAACTAGTAAAATTCAGTACCTATTTCAGAAAGTTGTGCTATGAAGCTTAAGTGAGATAGTGAATGTAAAAGATGAGTATGGTTAATAGGATGCTTCTGCTAAACCTGACCTCTCTGCTTCTCAAATTGGCAGTGTTTGTAATTACTTTGGGTTTCCTTTGTAGTCAACTTACAACTCATGAAAAAACAGCTTAACTGAGGCATCTTCAGGTGGTTTGTGAGAGTCTGATAATAGAAGCTTTTTGGGAAGAATGGAAGTTTACACAGGCAGGGGGGTGTTTATTGAGAGGTAATGTTTGTAGATGCTGTGAAATTATTCTATGCCATCCTCATTGTTTCCACTTGTTTATTGCTGAGTATTCTTTAAGGTTGGTCTTCTGCTCTTCCTCTAAATCAGGGTGATAACTGCAGTTTATGGGTTACTTGGAAACGTGGAGGAGGAGGGAGCTGGAGCTGGTCACAATGCCTGGGAGGTATCCACTGGCCTTGTTAACAAGGAAGTCTTGTCCTGCCAAAATGCCAGTGCCCTCATGAGTAACACAGCAATGCCAAGTTGGTGTCAGCTCTTCTGTTGTATAGTCCAGGTCTTTCAACTACAAAGATGAGAGTGAAACATTCACATCTGTACATATTTAAGTTAAATTTGAGAGAGACTTAGACCCTGTTCTTCTGAATCAACCTGATAATTTGATCCTAGGTCACTTTCTTACAGAGAGGAAGTACCATCTGTTTTAGTTTACTAGGGCTACTGTAATAAGTTAAAGCTGGCTTAAAACAACAGAAATTTATTCTCTCAGCTCTGGAGGCCAAAAATCAGGAGTCAGCAGAACCATGATCCCTCTGAAGGCTCTAAGAATCCTGCCTTACCTCTTCCTGTCTGCTGATGATTGTCAGTGATCCTTGGCTTTTAGCTGCATTGCTCCAGTCTCTGTCTCTGTCATCATGTGGCCTTCTTCCTTCTGTGTTTCTGTGTCCTCTCTTAACAAGGTCACCAGTTATTGGATTTAGGGCCCACCCTAATCCAACATAACCTCATTTTACCTAATTGTTTCTGTAAAGGTAAGGTTACATTGTGAGGTTTCAGGTGGACATAATGGGGGGCAGGTGGCTGTATTTAACCCAGCACATATGTCATCCTTCACTATCCAAACGAGTTTGGTTCATGTGTTCAGATGGCAAGAGGTGCCAGCACTGGTGCTGATATGCCACCACCAATGTAAGTTTGCTTCCTAGATACTGGTCATCTCTGGGAACTGATAAAATCAAGTTTGTCATTTTGGAAGATTTTGATCGTGAAGATACTGTGACTTGCCCAAAGAATTGTGACCCTTAGAGACTGAGCACAAAGGACAGTCCTATACCTTGACCAACCTCGTTAACTTGCAAGACCCAGGTTTTGCTGCATCAGCTTGGAAAGACAAGCCCTTTGTTCTCCACAATGTAGAAATCAAAAGGCACTTACTGACAACTATAGTTGATAGACAGTGAGAAAAAAGATCCTGCTTTTAAGGGGTTACTATCTATCCCAAGTTCTGTTTTTGATCTAGCCCTGCCCATAAACAAAGTTTCTTTCTCCTTTCTACTTAATGGTTAGGCTTTATATCTGCAAAGGTGGGTAAGGGAAGGGTGATCTGGGAAATTGTAAAGCACTAGATTATTGCAGGACCTACCTTTATGGGCTTTTTGAATAATGTGCTATAAGGGAAACCAAAAAAACATATTCAAGCCTGGTTCCAAAACCTCTCCTCAGGGTGTGGGGCGAAGATATGCTCATGTGGTGTTGAGGAAAGCAGATATTGACCTCACCAAGAGGGCAGGAGAGCTCACTGAGGATGAGGTGAGGACAAGAAAAGGGGTGGGGGTTGGGCCTACCTTTGAAAGGGGATTATTTAGATCTGACCTTGTTCTGCGTGCCAGGTGGAACGTGTGATTACCATTATGCAGAATCCACGCCAGTACAAGATCCCAGACTGGTTCTTGAACAGACAGAAGGATGTAAAGGATGGAAAATACAGTCAGGTGCGTATTGAGATGGGAGGGATTGGAGAAAAGGAGGTGGGAAGGCTCGAATTAGAAATGGGTATAGGAGGTCGGGGAGTAAAATAAATGTGCCTCACCTTCTCCTCTGAATGCAGGTCCTGGCCAATGGGCTGGACAACAAGCTCCGTGAAGATCTGGAGCGACTGAAGAAGATTCGGGCCCATAGAGGGCTGCGCCACTTTTGGGGGTGAGTAGGGGGCAGTTTCATCTCCCTACCTGCCCCTAGACACCCAGTGTTTTTCCTCAAGCTCAATCTTCCTCGTTGCAAAACTTCATGCTGTGTATGACCTGTGACCCTTCTCTTTTCACCTGCAGCCTTCGTGTCCGAGGCCAGCACACCAAGACCACTGGTCGTCGTGGCCGTACCGTGGGTGTGTCTAAGAAGAAATAATCTGTAGGCCTTGTCTGTTAATAAATAGTTCCTATACCTATGGTTTCCTTCTTTGTGGTTCTCTCCTTCGGGTGATACTGATGCTGGGCCCCGTTGGTCATTTCTCCCTTTCCACTTACCTGGGGGTTTCCCCACTCACCTGCCCGAACTGCCATTGGATCTTAGCAATGGTGATGCCACTTCTCCCACCTGAAGTAACTCTCTATGTAGCTAGTGATGTCCCACCCTGGAAAGTATGTACTGGTATGAGGGAGCAGCAACATTCACAGGCTTGAGGGGGAGCCCAGACCTGTTTTAAGACAACCAAGTCCCCTTGTGTTGGTGTTTGGAGCAGTTGTGGAGTGTGCGGGTAGCTGAGCTTAGCCAGTCGCATCTCAGGTGGGTTATTTGCAGGTCTTGACCACCCTAGGTTTCTAAAAGATGGGGTCCGGTATGTAGTCCAAAATCGGAAAATTGGTTGTGGGCTGGTGCATATAAAATTAGCTACGGGGGCAAAAACAGGCACGGACTTAGGTGACCCGGAAGGGCTGGGCTCCCGGCAGAGAGGTGAAGCGTGTGGGGGGGGGGGTCAGGGGGGGGAGCAGGAGGACAAAGCGGTCCGATTGCATTTCACACGGCCCCGCTCCCTCCCGCTCGGATTCTGCCGCGCTGCTCAGACGCCGCTTCCGGCGGGGATGATGTGAACGCGCAGCGCGGAAGCGGGCTGGAGGGAGGCGGGGGAGGGGCCGTTGGCATAGCAATCGGCCAGCCATGGAGCCAATACTGGAGGCGGGCTCGCGAAGACAAGGTAACCATCCTGGCAGCTCCAGCAGTGGTCCCAGCCTGCGCCGCCTCCCCTCTCCGCCCAAGGTGCGCTGGTACTGGCCGCGTGCTCCACCCACCCCATCCCAGGTGTGGCCGGTTAGGGGCCCTCCCTTGACCCGCACCCGGGCGATCTCCGCGCTCCATCCTCTAACCGCCCTCCTCTCCCTCCAGATCCCTTGACTGCCACACCATGCCCCTCAGCCTCTTCCGACGCCTTCTTCTTGCCACTCTCCTGGTGGCGATCGTCTGGACCCTCTTTGGGCCCTCGGGGATAGGGGAGGAGCTGCTGAGCCTCTCGCTAACCTCCCTGCTTCCGGTCCCAGCCTCGCCAGGGCCGCCCCTGGCCCTGCCCCGCCTCTTGATCCCGAACCATGAGGCCTGCGGTGGTCCCGGCGCCCCTCCCTTCCTGCTAATCCTGGTGTGCACGGCCCCAGAGAATCTGAACCAGAGAAACGCCATTCGGGCCTCGTGGGGCGGACTGCGCGAGGCGCGGGGGCTCAGGGTACAGACGCTTTTCCTGTTGGGAGAGCCCAAGGAGCAGCACCCTTCCTGGGGCCCCCACAGCAACGAACTGGCCAGGGAGTCAGCGGCCCAGGGGGACATCTTGCAGGCGGCCTTCCAGGACTCCTACCGCAACCTCACTCTCAAGACCCTCAGCGGGCTGAACTGGGCCAACAAACACTGCCCCATGGCCCGCTACATCCTCAAGACAGACGACGATGTGTATGTCAACGTCCCTGAACTGGTATCAGAGCTGGTCCTTCGAGGAGGCCGTTGGGAGCAATGGGAAAGGGTCATGGAGCCCCAAAAAGAGGCTGCGATTGGAGATGAAAAGCCAGGAGGCCAGGCCTTAGGGGGAGAGGCAGTGCCTCTTCTGTACCTGGGCCGTGTGCACTGGCGAGTGAACCCCTCTCGGACACCAGGGGGCCGGCACTGTGTATCAGAGGAGCAGTGGCCTCACACCTGGGGCCCCTTCCCACCCTACGCCTCGGGCACAGGGTATGTGCTGTCAGCTTCAGCTGTGCAGCTCATTCTGAAGGTGGCTAGCCGGGCACCCCCTCTGCCATTGGAGGATGTCTTTGTGGGGGTAAGTGCCAGACGAGGAGGCCTTGCCCCAACCCACTGTGTCAAGCTGGCTGGCGCCACTCACTACCCCCTGGACCGGTGCTGCTATGGGAAATTCCTGCTGACATCCCACAAGTTGGACCCCTGGAAAATGCAAGAAGCCTGGAGGCTGGTGGGTGGCTCTGATGGGGAAAGGACTGCGCCCTTCTGCTCCTGGCTCCAGGGTATACTGGGCATCCTGCGGTGTCGAGTAATAGCCTGGCTTCATAGCTGAGAGTTCCTGGGGCAACAGGAGAGGACTGAGGAGCTGAGGGTCCAACCAGCACCCCCAGGACCTTCTCTCTCCCAGGCCTAAGGCAGAGGCCCTAGCTGGCTGCAGCTATCTATGAGCTAGTTTCCTCATATCAGACCCTCAGTCTCATCAAAGACCAGGGATATAGGAGACACCTAAGAGCCTGGCCTGCCAGCCCCAAGGATGGTCATCAGGAAGAAATAAAAATGCTGGGATTGTTCTCTCCAGCCAGGGCAGAAGAGGGGCATGAGCTCCTCAATAAACTTGTCTCTCCACCTCTTCGAGTGCAGTGTGGTCTTCACCAGGGCTCTCGGAATACAAACCCAGAGAGCCCAGAGGCTGCCAGACCCTGTTGGATGGGAAGGACATCTCCAGGGACGTGGAGAGAGAGGACAGCCTCCCTGAGAAGGAATGCCCCCAAAAGGCAAGGCTAAGGCGACAGCAACCATGGGATATGGGGTTGGGACAGGCAGCACACTACCTCTGGTCCTACAGTAGCCCCATACTGGGCAAGGAAGAGGGGGACAGGTCCACAGGATGATCCAGACACATTATCCAAAAAATTGCCTTCCTTTTTAATACCAACCCACCCCAGCAGCCAGCTTTCCACCACTAGTTGGGGAGGAGGCCACATTGCCCCCCGTCATTCCAGGGAACAGTCATTTCCCTACAGGTGATTCTGGGGAGAGACTGTTGTTCCCAGGCCATCCTGGAGCCTGGCTCAGTGCACAAATCTGTCCAGGGCAGATGGCCAGGTGCCCATGGGCTTGGCCTTCTCTTGCTTATGCTGCTGCTGCTCCTGAAGGCTCTGCCGGACCTTGTCCTGGGAGGCAAGGGGAGGACACAGGGGCAAGGTGAGAATTGGCAGGCTGGCAAGGCCAGAGGCACAAGAAGGAGGGTGTAACCTGTGGGGCCCTAGGTGTGAGGCACTCATTTACCCTGTGCTCCTTGTCCATGACCTTCCTCTTCCTCTTCACCAGGTTTGCCGTAGAGCTGCGGCCCTTCTGCTTTGGCTTTGGCTGGAAGGGGGCCTTGGCCTCGGGGTCATAGCCCTGACAGAGGGGACAGGAATGAAAACTTTAACAGCCTCAGAGTCAGGGAACTGGCAGCACCCACCTGCTGTGCCATACTTCTGGGGACAGGCCCATGGAGGGGAGAAGAGGTGGGGGTGAGGAAGGGCCTGGGCGCTCAGGGCCTGCTCCATACCAGCCTCTCTATCCGCTCCTTCTTTTGCTGCTCCAAAGAGATGATGTCAACCTCCGCCAGGGCTCGTGGGTCTAGACAAATGAGCTCTGCAGGTACCTGAGGATATGTATCATAGAGGGACAGGAATGGGTAACAAGCCACAGGAGGGTGGCACCAAAGAGACAGAAGCCAGGGAGGTTGCTGAACCCCACTCTTCCTAGGACCCCCAGGATGACAGCACTGCCCCAAACCACACACAGACAACCTCTCCAGCAGAGGGAGCTCACCTTCTCCAGCAGAGCTTTCACCTCCCACTCCTGGCGCTGCTTCCGGCTTCTGTAAGGGTTACTCTCCAGGCCATCGAAGTTGGGCTCAGCAGCCCCTGGAGGGAGGGAAGAGCATGGAGCCATAAGCAAGAACCCAGTCCAACATCTCCAGCACTACCAAGCCCCTTGCTCTTGGCTGTCTTAGGCCCATCCAGAGTTCATTCACCTCGAGCCCCATGCCCTGTCCCACTCACCAGGGACCAGCATGCTGGTGATGCCTCCACTGTGCCCCACCCCCAACACATCTTCAAAGGGGCAGAACTGAAGGCCATGCACGTGGCCAGAAAGCCGATGGGTGAGGTAGGGCTTCTCCAGGGAGGGTGGGCTGGCCTTGCCCTGCCCTGCCCATATGTTGACGACATCACCCATTCCCACAACCAGGAGTCCCCGCTGGGAGAAGGATAGGTGCCCTGCTCCCTGGGGCAGAGTCCGAGCGCTCAGAGGCTCGAACGTCCCTCGCAAGTCAAAGATCTTCAGCTGGTGGTCCAGGCCAGATGTGGCCATGTACCTGGTGGGGGAAAGGGAATCAATTAATCTGTCAGCATGAGTTCACTAAGCAAGCCTGTGCTCAGACTCCAGGCATCAAGTCTGGATGGGGGGAAAAAAATAAAAATAATCACTACCATCCCACTAAACATTCCACAGGTATGACTAAGTTAAGCCTCACACAACTCAGTACTATTTTTATTTCTCTTTTACAGATGAGGAAACCGAAACTCAGAGAAAGGAAATGTGTTAGTGAATGATTGAACTAGGACTCAAGTCAGGCCTGTTTCTTTAGTGTCTGCCCTCTCACCTACCATCACCATACTCCCCTCTCAAGACACTTGAATCAAGGGAAGAACACACACAACAGTGTACCTAATTCTTATGTTCCACTGCACGGACAGGCAAACAAAGCAGCTCACAAAGGGAAAGAGCATGTGCAGTGGGCAAGGAAGGCTTAATGGGAAAGGTGGGATTTGAGCCATTCTAGATAATTCTCAAGAAAGCACAAGAAACATACAGCAGGTAGAGATGCATTAACACCAGAGTGTGGAGACAGTGAGACGGAAGCAGAGGTTTGTTCTGAGGGCTGGTGAGAAATATGGTGAAGAAAATCAGGTGGACATAAATAGTACGGTTTTCTATTTTTGTGGCTGGCTGGTAAGGGGATCCGAACCCTTCACGTTTGTGTTATCGCACCGCGCTCTAACCAACTGAGCTATCCAGTCAGCTCTGTAGGGCTTCTTTAAAGTCAGACTTTAAACTCAGCTCATTATCATAACAATGCTTTCTGGCAATGAAAAATCACAAATTGAAGACTGTACAGACTTGAGAAAACCTACTTAGAAAGTAGTGAAGTACAGTGGTTCCCCTTTATCTGTGGGCGATATGCTCCAAGGCCCCCAGTCAATGCCAGAAACCACAGACAATACCAAACCCAATTGCTATCTTTTTTTGTTTTTCTTTTTGTTTTGTTTCAGTGGCTGGCTGGTACTAGGATACGACCAATTGCTATTGATCAGAACACATTTCTGTTCGTGTCTTCCACCCACAAACCTAATGTCTTTTCCATCTTAACTAAGCACTTATCACATACTGTGGCTGCAGCTTTTGTAGTTTGAGGTGCGGCAGCAAAACTAGCACAAGTTTTTCCTTCACAATTTCACAAAAAATTCGTTCTTACTGTAGATCTTAGTAACCTCAGCATACGACTTTTTTTTCTTTCCTTATTAAGTTGAAAACTTTCACCTTTTCACTTAAAGGAAGCACTTTACAGCTTCTCTTTAGCATATCCAAATTGCCAGCATCACTACTCTTGCATTTTGGAACCATTATTAAGTCAAATAAGGGCAACTTAAACACAAGTACCATGATACCTTGAGAGTCAATCTGATAACCAAGATGGTTACTAAGTGACAACGGGCAGGTGGCATATACAGCTGGACAAAGGGATGATTCACATCCCAGGCTGGCCAAAGCAGGACTACATGAGATTTCATGACACTACTCAGAACAGTGTGCAATTTTAAACCTATAAACTATTTCTGGAATTTTCCATTTAATATTTTTGGAAGGCAGTTTACTGCAGGTAACTGAAACCACAGAGAGCAAAACAGCAAATGGGGGGGGGGGACTACAGTAATGCACTAGAAGACCCTGCCCTGTCTCTCTCTTTGCTTTCAGGAAGGGCAAGGTTGGTGACCAAGTCCTCTCAAGGATCATGCACTGCATAAGGTGTTTAGTTTCAGATTCTGGAGTTTATCTCTGTTCAAGTTGTTCATAAAAGAGAGGGACCAACCAGCCAGGCGATATATATTTGCCAAGGGGCCAGGCTGGCACAGACATGGAATAAAAAGGATGGAACCAAATCACTTGTACACAAAGATACATATTTGCCAAAGGGCCAAGGATGGTCTTTTTTGCTTTGGCTGTGAACTCAGGAGGGGACTGAAGAGTTCCTATGAGCAGAGACTCATCCTGTGATGGAGCCCAGTAGATGCTCAGCTGGGTACTTCTGACAAGACATCATCATTAGGGCCCCAACTCCATCAGAGAAGAAGGCCATCAGTACAAACCAGGAATGACTGAGGGCTCCTGGGACACAGGGTCACTCCTTTCGGTGAACTGACAAGGGCACATGCTGGCTGCTCTCCCCCTGACAAATCCATCTATGGGATCCCCTGGGTAAATACCAGCCCAGCAACCAGGTGGGAGTCCAGGCCACACTACCATACTACTACATTTGCAAGAAGCAGTTCAGCTTTGAGAAGCTAATCCAATCTAAGGCTAATGCAGACTTCCAGAAAACCCCCTGAGAAAGATGGTCAGCTTCATCTCTGGAGCTCCCATGGCCTGTCTGAGGAGCTCTTGAGGAGGTCCAGAGATCAGCAGGGATGTGCCTGAGAACAAGGACCAGAACTGTTCCACATTGAGGTGTTGACTAAACCCCAGGCCTCAGTGAACTAAAAAGCCTTAGGCACAGGAGCAGCTGAGACCCAGGCAGCCCAAGAAGGCAAACTACAGCTTAGGCCCAGTGGCCCACAGAAGGCAAAAAGCCTCAGGCACGCCTCCCCACTGTCCTAGAGCCAGGCTGGCACAGACATGGAGTAAAAAGGATGGAACCAAATCACTTGTCCACAAAGATACAACTATGGAAGGCCAAGGGGTCCAAGCATTCCTAAGCCTTTCATAAGTTGGTGGCCACTGGACTTTTCCTTTTCCTATGCATTTGCTTATTGATTTTCTTTAAGACAACTTGTAAATAAACTTAGGTAGTTTAGACTTATTATAGGAGATTCCTGAGCAGCAGTGTAAAGGAGAAAAGCAACTTGTGGGAAAGATTATTTTGACAACACCACCCAGGACATGTCAGGAAGATCTGGAGGCTGGAAACAGGCTGTATCGCTAGTGTCTATTGGACAAAGATGGAGAGAAACAGAGCTGGGAGGGACCCCTGAGGAAAAGCAGTCAGGACTTCATAGGTGGTCATGAGTAGTAATGAGGCAATGCCACCAAAGAAAGTATCAGGGCCAGGGGACCCAGAAAACACTCAGTAAACAGAACTTTTGATCCCCATTATTACTGATGGCTGAAGAACATGGGAGCTATGCAGCTAGCTGGAGGAGTCAAAGATGTCAAAATCTGAGTGACAGGAAAATTCGGAGTGAATAGGAACAGACAAGGAAGAACTCTGGGAGTGGTAACCTATCCAGGGATGATAGAAGACAGCTGAGTAGAAACCAAATGCACCACCGGGCCAATCATTCCGTAAACTACGGCCACCTCCGTTTGTACATAAAGTGTAACTGGACCACCACACCAGGGTAGGCTCAATGTTCATCCTTATATCCCCAGAACCTCTCAGCATAGAGCCCAGCCCACAGCAGTTGCCCAGTGAATGCCTGGCAGGTGAAAGGAATTAGAGGAAAATACAAATCAGACAGAACAGCCTTGGGAAAAAAAGATTATCTTTAATGAGGACGATGATGAGTGCAGCACTCCATCTTTGCTAGGCACTGTGCTAAACTTTCCATAAACCTTAGCTCATTCTAATGTAAGGGGTTTACACCAATGCCTGGCAAACTAACACCCATGAGCCAAATCTGGCCCACCATCTACTTCTATACAGCCCACCAGCTGAGAATGGTTTTTACATTTTTAAATGGTTGAAAAAAAAAAGAATATTTTGAGACTTGTGAAAAGTAAATGAAATTATTATTTCAGTGTCCACAAATAAAGTTTTACTGGAACATACCAAAGTAGATTCCTTTTTTTAATTAAAAAATTTTAATTTAAAAGTAAAGCATTTAAGCATTCATTTACTTATGCTGTGGCTACTTTCACTCTATATCAGTCAAATAGTCACGATAGAAACTGTGCATGGATCTTATCAATTTGCACTGCCGCTTGGCACACTACAAGCCACAGTAACACAGTTATAACTTGACAGCATTTTGAGCACCTCACACAACACCTATCTCATCACCTATCTGTGTGAAAAGATGTTCTCAAAGATGAAATACATAAAATCTCTCTACAGATCATCATTAACAGATGAACATTCGCAATCAAGTTTGATGATTTGGAACACTAACTTTGAACCTCAACTAGGCAAAATGTTATCCCCCCAAAAAGGAACTCAGTGCTGGCCAGTTAGCTCAGGTGGTTAGAGCACGGTGTTGTAACACCAAGGTCAAGGGTTCAGATCCCCATATGGGCCAGCAGCCAAAAAAATTTTTTTTAATTAAAAAAAAAAGGAATCCAATTCTTGCCGTTAGTACACCTATATTACAAGGATAGCATATTCAATTTCTATACTTTCAATTTAATCCCTTAAAAATTTGTTTTCTCATTATTTAAGTACCTATACAATACCCTTGATTTTGCCTCCTGGCCAGCATAACCTATAATTTTTTTTTTGGGGGGGGGGCTGCTGGCTGATATGGGGATCTGAACCCTTGACCTTGGTGTCGTCAACACTGAGCTAACCAGCCAGACCTATATTTTCTTTCTGGCTCTTCACAGAAAAAGTTTGCTGACCCCTGATCTAGAACACTCATATCCCCACTCGCAGGGTGAGGAAACTGTGGCACACGGAGGTTATGGCTGGTCAGTGTTAACAGCAGGATTTAAACCCAGGCAGCCTGGCTGCAGTCTGTACTCCCGAAGGCAGACTGCCTTCCATACCTTTCTGCCCAGCTGTGACCCCAACACATCATCCCCAAGCAACTGACTTACGTGCCTGTAGAATCCACTGTCACAGCCCGGACCCCACCACGGTGACAGAGAATTTTTGCCAGTGGCTCCTTCATGGCAGGACTCCATAAAGACACAGTACCTGCAAATAAGAGAAGAACTAAAGTTACTAATACTATCCTAACCCTGAGGTTGTTGAGCCTGGGATTAGATGGTGATGGAGTTTAAATGTGTTGTCCCCTCCAAAACTCTTGTGGAAATTTGATCTCCAATGTGGCAGTGTTGGAAACTGACTGAGTCATGGGGGCAGATCCCTTATGAATGGATTAATGCTCTCCCTGGGGGAAAGTAATGCTTCCCCTGGGGTGGAAGTAATGAGTGAGTTCTAGCTCTATTAGTTCCTGTGAGAGCTCGTTGCTGAAAAAGACCCTGGCACCTCCTCTCTCTCTTGCTTCCTCTCGCCATGTGATCTGCTTGTACCCGCCAGCTCCCTGCCACTTTCCACCACGAGTAGAAGCAGCCTGAGGCCCGTGCCAGATGCAGCTGTCCCAGAATCGTAAGCCAAATAAACCTCTTTCCTTTATAAATTATCCAGTCGCAGGTATTTCTGTTATAGCAACACAAAATTGACTAAAACAGATGGGGACTTGGGCCGGCCCGGTGACGCACTGCTACAGTGCGCCGCTTGGGAAGCGTGGCGGCGCTCCCGCCGCGGGTTCGGCTCCCACATACAGACCGGTTCCCGCTCACTGGCTGCGCGCGGTGCGGGCGCAACACCGAGGGTTGCGATCCCGTTGCCATCCCCGGTGCGGGCGTGACACCGAGGGTTGCGATCCCGTTACCGGTCAGTATAAAAGACAAAAAGGAAAAAAAAATGTATTATTGTTTTATGGGTAATTGAAGAGTTTGGCTAAGACAGTGGACTCTGAGAGCACATCCTAAAAATAAACAGAAAATTCTTGGCCAGACCGTGCCAAGCACTTTCCTTGTATTATCTCACCAACTCCTCACAGCAACCCCAAGAGATATGGTGCATCAGTATCCCCCATTTTCATAGGTAGGGAACTGAGGCTCAGAAAGGTTGAGCACTTACATGGAGTCACACAGCCCCTTGCTAGGGGAAGGGAGCCAAACAGATGGGGACTCAAGACCAAGAGGTAACAAGAGAGGGAAGTAAAGAGTAATCTTAAGGGACTTGCAAAATGCAAATACAGAAGAAAAGCAGGTCTGGATGTTCAGAGAGTCAAAGCTAGGCCAGGCACTGACCATTGCTGTGTCCGAGATGGATGACGGCATTGTAAGGGTTCTGAGTCATGACATCCAGCCGCCCAGCCCTAGCATTCAGAGCTGCCACGATCTTCCCCACCGACACATCCAGGTAGGTCAGAAACCCTGTCTCTGACTGAAACAGAGAAAGACAGAATGACAGAGTCTGATTTCCCTCTGCCTTCCCTCTACTGGAGTCCTAGAGGAGAAGTAGTCTTCCCAAGGGCTGCCACCCAGTCCCTGTGCTCCACAGCCACTCACAGCTGTGGCCAGGAGGAAGTGGAAGGGCAGGAACTCGAGCCGCGTTACTCTGTCACAGCGGCGGATGCAGTGGAGCTCGATCCCCTGGTTGTCATAGATGTGAAGCCAGCGGTTCTGAGCAACAGCAAGCAGTGCCTCAGAATGGAGAAATCTGGGGGCAGAGGAAGAGTGGTTCAATGGGAAATAGGGTCATAGGCTATCATTCAATCAGGGATGGGCTGTTTCACCCCCACTGACCGAATGTCCCGCACTGCCTCCATGACGTTGATCTCGCACATGAGCCTCTTTGTCACCCAGTCAAGGGCAGCCACATGACCCCGACGCCCTCCAAAAGCCAAGTGTCTGTTGGAGGTGGAGAACCAGACAGGATGTCAATGCAGGAAAGCACTCTGACTCAGACAGTTTGAGGTTTGCCCCAAGCCAGCCCCTCCTCTCTAGGTGAGAAGAGAGATGTTGCTATAGGTGGTCACCCTCAGATACAAGCAAATTGCAGGACCCTCGCCTCATCAACAACCCAAACATACAATGGGCATGGCTGGGGTGAGCATGGCTGAAGTGGTAAAGGAAACACAACCACGTCTTAGTTCAAGAGTCACTTGAATCCAACCTTACCTCCCAGTTCGAGAGTAGTTAAGTCTGTATGGTCCAAACTGCCTCAGATTCAAGTCAAAGTGCTAAGAAAAGGGAACAATAAAGAAAATAATGAAGAAAGAATAGGCTTCCCTCAATAATTCCCTCTTCTAATCCCTATTCTTCTCTCATCACCAATCAACCCACTGGGCCCTTTCAGGCTCACTTTGGCTGCACTTGCAATGTCCACAGCCTCCACGATGTCAGCCTGGCGTATCTTTGCTGTGTCTTCCCCATCCTCCCCTTCCAGAAACCTGAAAGCGAGGGTTAGGACTGCAGTAAGGCTTCCCAGTACAGGGTAGGTGTACCAACACAAAAATGAGAGAGTCCCATAAATCAGGGGCGGGGGAGGCTCAGTTAGGGTCCACTCACCCAGGTTCCTCAGCAAGCAGCAACTCAGAACGAGCAGCTTTGACACTGGTTTCCTCTTCCTCGGCTTCAGCCACCTCAAGTCTGCTTCGAGTTTTGGGCTTAGAATGTGGTAGCTAGAACATTGTTGGTGGGGGAAGAGTGGGAGAAGAACCAAGAGAATATGTAGGGTCACAGGAAGGCCACCTGGCCCAGCCTTTGTCCACTCACCCAAACACTCCTGCCTCCAACCCTTCCCCACTCTTCCGCTGGTCCTCACCTTTTTGGATTTGTCAATGCGACAGAACTTCTGGGCCACCTCCACAGGGATTGGAGCAGGGCCTGGGAATGGGTCCTGGGCCTGGGACAAGGAGAAAACAGTTAGCAGACAGGCTCGTGTTGACCTCAACCCCTTTCACTCTCAAAGCACAAGTAGACCTGCCCCGCCAGCCATCAGGTCCTAGGCTCACCCCGGACAAGCTCCGCTGGGGGTCCGGATTCTTCCATTCTCGGGGTTTCTTCGGGAGCTGGGGCTTCTTGGAGATCCGAGACTTCTTTGGAATGCAAGCGTTCTTTGGCCTCTGGGGGCGGAACTGCCGATTCCTCTTCTTGTTAGGAGTGGGCCCTGGAGAGGCTCCGGCAGTGGTCGGATCCGTCTCTTCCTCCCAGTATCGCCGCCGTTTCTATGAAAAAATGTGAAGCCCTAATACTCCGCAGCCCACGCCCTGTCCCCCGGCCTCCCCCCTCCGCGACCCCGCAGCTAAAAACTTCCCTTTCTACCCAGAGAGGCCTCTACCTTGCTCTTGGCCTGAAGTTTGTCCTTCTTGGGTGGGACACCCCTGCCCGGCTTGGGGGCTGTCTCCATCTCGCCCACCGAACGACGATCCACGTGCAAAACTCCTCTCAGCTGTCGCACGGTCGGCTCGGAAACTCACGGAAGTCTTCTGGCCCTCATCCACTCAGCGCCGTGCCAGGTCTGAAGCCTTCTCAGCGTCATCTTGAATAAGGGCGCGCTCTCCTTTGAGGGGCGGGGCAGGCCTGGCACCGCTACCCCAAGCGGCAGCTTATGCCCGAGTAATGAAAGAAAGGCAAGTCCGGGGTCAGGGCCAAAGTAACGGTGCAGCTTCTTTTTCCAGATTAGTTTTCTCATGTTGCTCACAACTTTCCGAGTCCAGTCTTTTTGGCAGAACGCCATTCATTAAACCTGTCAGAACTACATTTCCCGGCATGTGTTAGAAGACAACTTCCGGCGCCGTTTTTCCCAGCATTCCTTCTTTACTTCCGGGTTTATAATACTGAAGGGAGAACGTGAGCAGGTTAGGGTTTCGGTTGAGGGGCTTGGGGGTCTCGTTTCGCCCTCCACCCCCTGGGGCCGGGATAGAGTCGATATCTGGGACGGGAGAGGCTGCGGTGCCCGGAGGGGCTTCCTCTTGATAGTGCTGTCATTCTCGCAGGGCAGGCCAGAAAGGGGAGCTCAGGTACCTTCCAGAGAGTGAGAACCCGGCGCCCCTCTCCCGCTCCCCACTGGCTTTCATCCCCGCTATGGCTGAGCTGATCCAGAAGAAGCTGCAGGGAGAGGTGGAGAAATATCAACAGCTACAGAAGGGTAAGGGAGCAGGGTCGGTGTGGCCTCGCCCCAGTCCGCTCACAACCCAAAGCCATACCAAGATAAGGTTTTCTGCCCTATCTGGGCCCCCGCGTGCAGCTACTTCCGCACCTTAGTACTCTTCCCTGCCCACTGACCCGTTGTCCCCATCCTGGTCTACTTCCATAGATTTTTTTTTTTTTTCTTTTCTTTTTTTGACTAGGATCGTGGGGGTCGGTGGCACACTTGATGTTTCTAACCATGTCTTTCCTCCCACCCCCAGACTTAAGTAAATCCATGTCAGGGAGGCAGAAGCTTGAGGCACAACTAACAGAAAATAATATCGTGAAGGAGGTGAGGGACTGGGATTTGTGGGGCGAGGAAGGACCTGTGCTGGTTATGGTTCTAATCATATATGTCCCACTCCTCCATCAGGAACTGGCCCTGCTGGATGGGTCCAACGTGGTCTTTAAACTTCTGGGTCCCGTGCTGGTCAAACAGGAGCTGGGGGAGGCTCGGGCCACAGTGGGGAAGAGGCTGGACTATATCACAGCTGAAATGTGAGTCTGTCCCACCACCCTGAACTGACAGCATTGGAGTAGAGATATTGAGGAACTATTGTAGAGTAGCTTTTCATAGGAGACCCCAGTTTTCCAGCTCTGACCCCCTCTTCCCTTTTAAACCCCCTTTTCCTCCCTCTTCTAGATCTCGTTTTCCACCAATCTCTTTCTTGTTTTCAGCTCCCCTCAATAGTTAAGTCCCACTAATTTCTCCTTTTCTGCTTGTGTCCCTTGCCTCTCCTCAGTAAGCGATATGAATCCCAGCTCCAGGACCTTGAACGGCAGTCAGAGCAACAGAGGGAGACCCTTGCTCAGCTGCAGCAGGAGTTCCAGCGGGCCCAGGCAGCAAAGGCAGGGGCTCCTGGGAAGGCCTGACCCCATGGTGCGGGGAGGGAGGGAGGGAAACAAGGCAGCTCTAGGTTCTATACTGTAGCTAATAAAATGTAAAAGCACCTGGCTCTCTTTTCTGACCAGCCACTTCTGTCATAATTGTCTTCATCCATTCCCCCAGCCCCTTCCATCTATCTGAAATGTCTCAAACCTACTTCTTACCTGTACGAGTATATGCAATCCTTGACACTCCCTTAACTTGGTTGGCTTGACCTTTTAGGAAACATGAGAAGGGCACTTACAATATAGCATATTGTTGGGAATGTCACTTTAATTGAAGAACTAACAATTCTCTGAGACCCCAGGATGAAGTGTGGTTATCCTCCTTACTATGAATACTTGTTATCCTCCAAAGAGCCCTAACATCTCTTTCAGTTATTTTTAGCCTCCGTCTTCTAGGATTTGTTTGAATTAGCTTAAACTGATTGAAAATCCCAACATGTAATGCTCTATGATATTGTAAGTCTTCAAAGTTTTTATGTTGTCCACGAAGTTGTTTTTTCATTTCTTTGCTCTAAAGTTGTTTCTTACAAATTTGTAGCCAGGGGAGTTCTTCATACTGATCACTGTAATTTGGTGGCTACTTCGTGACATGGTCTGTGACAGCAGAGGAGAAAAATGTTAAGAGGAAATAAAGGTACCAGGGGCAGAGAGGAAAAAACCATTCTGAGGAAATAATTTTCCTTATATTCAGCTCTTCATGAAGGTAGAAAACATTGTGCCCCTTCCTGTTCCATGTTTTCTGCATTTAGTCAACTCCTCACCCCCAAACCCAGCAGCCAATTCATATGGACCATAAGGACAGGGGAGTAGAATTCAGGTAGTGTTTTGGTTTATTGTCTTAGTGTTGTCACAGTGACAGGAACCCCCAGAGTGGGAAAAGGAACTCCTACTAGAACCTACTCCTTGCCATCCTCCTCTGCCCTGGAGCTCAGAGCCTCTAGGCCTCTCCCTCTGCCCCCTTTCTAGGCCTTTCTTTGGCTCTTCACATGCTAAGATGTGGCCAGGAATCAGAAACTGATACCTTTTTCCAGCACTGGCTGTGCTGCATTCATGGGAGGTGGGATGCTGTACACAGTATCCAACTTAGTGACGAGATTACCAGTTCTCACAGGGCTGGATTTCTTAGCAGTCTGGTAAACCAGTGGCACTTCACTGCCCCAGGGTGGCTGGCCACCTGAGTTTCTGTCCCAGTGTGAAATAACTGCCATCATTCAGGATGGTTACCCACATCTGGTACGAACACCATGACTTCTGCAAGCCAACAGGGCTTCCTTCTCAGAACAGTGCCCGTGCAATCTTCCTCCCCGTGGCCTTAATCCTGGGAAAGGAGCCTCCTCCTCCCTCACTTGGGGGAGTTCCTGAAGCAGAGGGGCCACTGGCAAGGCCCAACGTAGCAGTAGAGAGTCTTCGCCGCTGCCGGAGGAGGAAATCGTGTGAAGCTCCATCCATAGCATAGAAGACATTAGCCGAGGGTGGGATGGTCAGCTCTGTAGGTTTAGAGGGTGAGTGTCAAGCACAAACACAGTTGTTCCCCCACAACCGCCCAGATGCAGAAGCACTCCATTGATGGCCAACACTCTCCTCCCGAGTCTGCCTCTCCCTTATCGCCTCTGACCTCGCTCCCCTGGTAGCAGCTGTACCAGCTCATACTCCGAAACCACTGCAGAATCACGATTGTTTTTCTTCAGGACACGACTGATGACACTTGGAGTCTTGTCCTGACTTGTCACCTGCAGGATAGGAGACCAAAAAGAGCAATCAATCAGCCATGATGACCTCTCCTTCCCATCCTTTTAACTTCAGCCACTGACCCAACCAGAAAAGGTTATCTGTGTCCAACGCTTTAAAATAAACAGGGACACCCAATATGGTGGCTCCCTGTACTCCATAAGTTAACCCACACAGTGTCCAGTGAAATACAGCTGCTTCCCTGTGGGGAAACTGCTGTTGGTTCTGAAAATCTAATATGGCCACCAAAAGTTCAAGGTGCAGCAGCTAATACAAAGTAGTCATGAAAATAAAATATATCTGCCAAGCCAAAGGTCAGAAGTAAAACTAGAATCAACTCCATTTTGCTGGCCAAACCTAAGACAATATTTATAGTCCAGCAAGGTGCCACCCTTCACCTCCACCCCCAGCCCAAGGCTCCCTCACCAAGATGCTCTTGTACACACTGCCGTCTTCTCCCAGCTCCATTTGGACTCGGATGATTTGGCAATCAGAGGCCCCTGGCCCAGATTCCCCTCCCCCACATCCAATCCTCCTAGAGGCCCCTTCTGTACCCCCACTCAGTGGGGAGCCACAGGAGGCTGAGCGGCGGTGACCTCGAGAAGGCCTAGGGGAGGAGGTTGGGGGGGAGAGGTGGCTGGGGTCAGCCGGACTGTGCAGGGATGAACTGCTTTCCAGGGCCGAGTCCAGAGATGAGACAGATGGCCACTTCATGTGCTAGGGACAAACAACATGGGGGACTGGCATGAAGGTAGGGAGGTTAAGGAAGAAACATTCACAGAGTCAGGGTCAGTGTCGAGGTCAGAAGTCAGGTGCAGAGCTCACCTGGGCCAGCCGCGTCAGCAGAGGAGCAGGGGTTCCAGGTACCTCATCTCCCCCCACACTTGGCCGGTCCCAGGACACAAGGGGGGTGGGGCCCCCAACAGAGCCCAGAACTCTAGAGTGGCAGGAGATTGGGAGGGTCAGAGAGTGGCAAGTCCCCAAGAAATACCTCCAACTGCCCAGTCTCTTACTCTGTCCACTGCGAGATGACCAGCGTTGGACGAAGCACCCGCGGAGCAGGAGGATCACTGGTACCATGTGGCTCCACCTCACAGGACACACGGTGACTGGAAAGGGAGGGGATGGGCCAAGATCAGGATGTGACACCAATCCCACAGTTAGCCAGAGCCCTGGCATCCCAACCTCACCCAGCAAGTCACCTCTGGGCCTCAGTCAGTGGCCGGAGCCCCTGTAGCCACTGCTGGATATCAGGGTCAGGTCGGAGGTCATAGCCACGACATTCATTCTGGAGCCGCCGCAACTCAGAAAGGACAGCAAACTCCTGGGAAGGAGCCCTCAAACTGCAGGTGCCAAAACTCAGGGATCCCCAACCTTCCTTTTCCTCCTCCCCTTCCTGGTACTTGGATAGGGACATCCAGCATCCAGCCCAAGCATTCCTCTCACCTTTCTCCGCTTGTCAAAATTAATGTATCCATTCTGCAAGGATAATGGGGATGAGTGAAAGTCCTACCCTGCCTTCCAGGCCACAGAGAGAAAATATCCCCTCTCTCAAACACACACATCCACATCCAACTCACAAACACTTCACTCCAGCCT